GAGGTGGGTAAAATGAGGACCCGGATTGTTTTTGGGGGCAATATGCTGACTCTGTAAACCGCTTAGAGAGGGCTGAAAGCCCTATGAAGCGGTATGTAAGTCTAACTGCTATTACTGCTATTCAGCATTTAGTCATGCCGGCCACATGACCATGGAGACATTTTAGGACAACGCTGGCTCTTTGGCTTTGAAACGGAGATGAGCACCGCCCCCTAGAGTCGGGAGCGACTAGCACATAGGTGCGAGGGGAACCTTTACCTTTATCTTAAAGTTATAATAATCACAATGCACAGCATGGGTTTCTACAGGCTACCATTCATTTTTCATTGGGGGAGGAGGCTTTGTTCTTTTTTTGTACACAAAAAATTCTTTTACCTGCCAAGGAGTTTTGTGCACCAATCAATTGTATTTTCTCCTGTTTCCCCACTCCAAAAAGAGGCTCGTAAATTAGGGTTAGCATTATTGATCAAGGGTAAAGTTAGGTACAAATGTCATAATCACAGCAAGACTTCTGCACCAATTTATTACACCTAGGATGTGTGTGTGTGAAAACGTTCAGACCTGAGGTGTGTGTGTGTGTGTGTGTGTGTGTGTGTTTGTGTGTATGTAAACAAGAGCTCAAGGGAAATTGATAATGGTAGGAAAGTACCTTATTTATCAGACATCCCATCCTTGACCAGAAAACAAAAACAAGCAACATTAACACCCCAACATTATATTTGGTTTGAATATACCGCATCAAGTTGCTAGAATGGAATCTACATGAAGAAACGGCAAAAGGAAATTAAACGACCACGCAGCAATGATTATATAACACAGAGCCGGTACCGCATTATTTGGGCCGCTTTAAAAGAATTCTGTGCAATTCAGGGAAATTCGCACCCACAGATTGAGCCCAGCCCTGGCTCATCCCCGAGCGTGCCACACACCAGAGGCAGCTCACTGAAGTTCCCCATAGAGCGAAAGGAAGGCTCCCACTCAGAAAGCCAAGCACGCCCACGCCTCATCCCGGCCCGCCATTCACCCAAGAAAACTCAGGGTTTGCAATTGTTTGCAACGCCGAGATTTTGGAGCCAGAGCGTGGGGAAAGATGGATGGATCCGCAGCTCAGCCTCAAGGCGGGCTTTGAGGCCAGCGGGGCAGACGCCCCCATTCTCCCGCCCCCGCCAGCAACTAAAATCTGAGCCCCCAGACCCAGCCCCCCCCCCCACTTACCAGCTTCGGCCAAGGGCTGCGCACCACTCAACTATGTGCAGAAGGCCGAGCCTCTGAGCTCCCTTCCAGGAGGTCCCCAGCACGATCTTTGGAGTCATGTAAGCGCGCCCCCTGCAGGCCTCAGTGGGAAGGGAACAAAGGAGGTGAGGAGATATCTATGGATGTTCTCAGCCATCCAGGTCATGGTTATCCTAATGATGATTCCCCCCCCCCCCCCCCAAGAGGCAACTGGACTTTCTGATTTTGCTTCTCATCCAAGAAGCTTCTTCAGTTCTGGTGTTGTGTTAGTTGTGCCTTCTTTATAAAGTCTGTGAATAGTTTTATGTAGAACCTCAAGTGGTCAAATGCATTTCTCTAAGTTATATAAAAGACAGATAGACCTTGACTTTTGATTTATTCACATGACTGTTCTAATTACTAATTATTCTTGTTACTGTTTCTAGTCTTCTTTAACTAAAGTTAGCATTATTTCAACCAATCTTTGATTTCTTCAAGATCCATGAGAAAAGATACAAGAGCTTCACTCTGACACAGCCTTCTATCCAATTCTCCTCCTTAGATATTATGAGTTGAATGGAAGTAGAATTCAGAAAGTTTTATAGTCTTTTATGAAATAAGGGGAATGGAGGCCAGAAGGCATTGTTGCTCAGCTGCTGCTGTTTTGGGTTTGTAGAGCAAGCATTAAAATTAAGGTTTGCTCTATATCAGTAGCTTTCTGAAGCCGGAACATTTTTAAAGCATTCCAAGCAGATTTTTAGTGCATTTAGGGACTTCATCATTGATTTGTTTTGCCTAAAGCTATGCCTAGTGATATATTTCTTCGTACTTTTATTTTTCATTGTTGTCATAATTTATCCTAGCATTGTTACAACTTTGATCAATTACTAATAATTACTTGTTTATATTTACCACACTTTTAACTTTTTTCATCCATGAGTAAACTTCGGTGAATCTGTAGTGATTTGGAAGCGTACAAATTAAATAAATAAATGAAGTCTGGATTGGCTGTACCACCAGTATTTGCTTCAATCTTGGCAAGTAGTTTGCATTAACGTACGCACATCTTTTTTATTCCTGCAATAATTGTTTGTAAAAATGGTAAATCTTTCAGCTTGAGTTTGATCCTAAGTGACTTCATGAATGTACTCATGTATTTATTTATTTTTTTGGCAACAACATGGAAATGATTTGCTATGACTACCTTCTCAGATAGTTTTGACTTCCCAGTTAGTTTCACTTCCCAATCTGTCACAGGCGTGGTCTACTTAGGCAAGCCAAGTTCTACAGTAGATAGCATCAATAATAATGAGTAATTAATCATAATAGATGTATACTTATTTAATATTAGTAAATTATTCAGAACATCAAGGCAAAGGAAACATGCAAAACATGGCTGCTGGAAATTATTTCTGATCTTCACCAGAATGGCCATTGGATACATCTTTATTTTCTTCTGTATAATGTTCATCCTCTTTCCTTGAGACTAATTGGGGCAGGCACATATGTTGTGCTTATCTTTCTGCTCTTCTATCATGTGTGCCATTGGTTGGGCCACATAGGATCTGCTCTGTCACATGACTAGGAGGGAAATGTGGTGAGGGATTTAAAATGGATCAGTGCAAAATTCTGTGTCTCTCATAGCAAAGCTTGGAAACCTTTTTTTTCCTGGAATGTTTTTCCCCAAGGCCAGCCCATTTCCAAAGTCAATCTTTTGTTTGCAAATATCTATCACACCAAGTTTAGTCTCAATATGTCCTAGACACTTATTCTCCGGGCAGAAATTCCAAGACTTTACATCCTTGATAGGGTTGGAAAAAATAAAAATCACTCTGGTTTCAGATCATTCTTGCCTCAACTGTGTATTATCTTAGGTGGTGCCTGTTGCTTTTGTAATTAGTTGTAGTAAATCTGCTGCCCAATAAATAGGGGCACCTTTGTAGTTATCAAAATGGTATAAAGGGGTATTTCTAATGAATTATCTATATTCATAACTCAGAAAAGCTTTAAAAATCCATGGAATTCAATGCCAATTGAATGAAGGTATAAGTAAATAAATCTGGATAACTGATTGGGTTTTAATAACAACCAAGCCCAATATTTAAACAGGCATTATTAAAGACATAAATTGGATTTATTGCAGCTTTACAATTTCCCCCCTCTTGTTTTCATTTTGGAAAGTTAATACTATTGGTTGTAAATAGCTCCATCTTGTGGCAAAATATATACTAGTAATCAGATAACACTTCATAGTTACTTCAGAAAATAGTTCTTATAGAATAAGATCAGAAAAATATACCATTATATTTCACATATGAAAATATTGATATTATGTTCATGTATACTTAAGATTCTATGGTATAATGATAACTTATCAGTCTTGGAAAAAACATTTTATAAAGATCTAGAACTTTCATGTAATATATTAATTTTGTTGAGAAATATTTTGAGGTTTTTATCTAACAAGGTTATATTTCAAGGAATGTTTGTTCTCTTCCACATTAAATATTAGTAATATAGATCTTTCAGAAACTGAATATATTGAAGGTAGATTTTTGAAAATATTTTAAATAGGAAAAAACATCAATAACCTGTACTGTTTGATGATACAACTTTTAACTGAAAATGCAACTATCTGAAATATTGACTATTGAAAGTCAAGCACATTGAAAAAAATGGAATTAGGAAAAAAAATGAAATAGCTCCCCCCCAAACTATGGACAGCCCTTACTCTATTTTTTTTAAGATCTGGCTTTTATCCAATCATTGAAGTCAGGATATTGATGATGATAAGAATTAATTTTATGCCGCCCAACTCTTGGCATAATTATGAAATAATATGTCTATCAATTTCATATTTTATTAAGTTTCTGTGCAAGTTTTAATCACCTTTTTCTTATTTTTGTTTTAATGAGATTCTCTATTTTCATTTTTTTTTCCACTGCCCAGAGTTTCGTAGATGGTTGGCCATATAAATTGGATAAATAAAAATATCAAGAGCAAACTAATGACAATAGTACACCAAGCAGTCTTATGTTGACAATGAAGATACTGACATGGTAGATAGCTTCTGCCTTTTAAGATCGATTATCAACAGCAAAGATAATAAATACCCTGCAGATTAGCACTTGGTAGAATAGCAATGAAGACTTTGGAAAAGATATTCAGGTGTTGCATGTATTTGTATCTACAAAACCTTCAGAATTGTGAAGGCAATGATTTCCCCCCGTGATACTCTATGAAAATGAAAAAAGTCAGAACGAATAGTGACACTTTTGAACTTTCATGCTAGAGAAGATTCCTAGGGATGCCATGGATGGACAAGAAGAGGGTTATTCAACAAATCAACCTAGAATTCTGAAATGAGGCACAACTGACCAGGCTCAAATTAACTTATCTTGGACACATTATAAAGAAAACCTAGTCCCCTGGAGAAATCAAATAATGCTGGGAAAGGTGAAAAGAAAGAGGACAATCAACAACAAGGTGGATGGATTCAATTACAGCTGGAAGACCTGAAGGAGCAGGATGAGGGCAGGTAATTCTGGAGAAAATCAAGTATTTGTTGCTAATAACTGAAAGTGATCTGATGACACATAGAACTTTAGCAGCAGCAGCTTCTTCTAGTTCTTCAACAGCAACAGACAGCAATCTTTCATTTGCACTTTCGCAACTCTGGAGGGTCCGCCTGAACAAACAGCCTCACCATTTCATTTCCAAGTTTATGGTGTAAATTCTCATTGGATGATCGTTAAAATGGCAACTTGCTACTAAGATAGTCCATTATTTCCAACTAATTAGTAGACATTTCTAATATCTTACTGGTTGCACATGTTAGGGTTTAATTCTTCTTATATTGTAAATAAGAAAAAGACATGGATGGAAGGGAAGGAAAAATACAGTTTAATTACAAAGATGGATTCCTATAAAATATAACATTTTCATTTTCAGCGCTTCTTCCAGGTGAACTTTCTGCGGGCTCCCTTTTGGCCAGGCTTTTTCCGTTCTCTTACACGTGGATCAGGAGTGAGGAGACCAGCTGCAGGGAGATCAGGAAGAAGTTTATACAATTTAATGAAAATTTGGTACAGAAAAAGGTGGAGGGACTTGGTTGTAAGAACTAAGGGAAGTCAAGGGGAGATGAGCATTTATCTAGCATTTGAACTTAGGTTTATAATATTAGAAAGTCCTGAGCATTTGCGTCACTTTAAACAGTTCATTAGAATGCTAAATAACAAAACTTATCTCTACAGTTATTGGAGATAAGTAATCAGGAACAAGATATTGAATATTATTATTTAGGACAAATTGATACATTTTTCTCTATAAACTTTTTATTACCTTGCCTCATGAATTCTACTTCATCTTCAGTAATAAAACTACATAAAGCTCTTGCTATGGCTAAGCGAATTGCTCCTGTTTGTCCGCTTCTTCCTCCTCCAGATACGGTGCAGACCACATCATACTTTTCTAAGTGATCAAGAAATTGGAATGGGAACATCAGCTGTTCTCTGAAAAGTATTAGATATGAATAATGTGAAAGAGTTAATGTCAGCATTCCAAATATCATGCAGAATTAAATCAGAGTCCAAGGCAGAGCTATCCTTAAAGTTCCAATTTANACACACACACACACACACACACACACACACACACACGCACACGGTTCTAATCTTTTTAGTATATGATGGAACCAGCTTAGAAGCCTGAGTCAATAAAGAAGTAAATAAATTTCTACAACTCAGAAACATGTATGGCTGGCATGAGATGACTATTCAACAAACTTCTCCATAGCAACCATAGAGAGATTTGAATGAAGAAACATTGAAACAAGGGCCTTCTTGTGGTATTAAACTGGCTTTGTGACAACTTCCTTAACAGTAGCACATGAGCCATAAAGTACCTCCACCTCTAAATTTCTTCTCCCTAAAAAGCAAGATTTGTTGTTCCTACTATATTCTCTGAACATACATAAATATACATAGAACAATTGAATTATCAACTATCCTTTGCAATCTGTGGGGAAATCAATTAAACCATCTTGAGAAGTAGCTATCCAAGTCTCCAGAGACAGAGAACCCACAACTTCC